ATGTGCGAGCGGCCCTGCGGAGAGAGGAGGCGCAGTGAGACCGCGGCCGGGCCGGCCCGGAGGGTCGGTGCTGTGAGGAGACTGTCCTCGCTTGGGCCGTCCTTTCTGGGGGTCATGGCCAGGGCGACACTTTTCCAGAAGTTGGACGTGTCCCTATAGCACTGTCATCCACGAATCACGTATTTTGACTCAAAAGAGAATAACCTATTTCTCCTCGTTTAACACACTTCCCAGGCCCCCGTCAGCAGTGATGGCCCCGCCGGCCCCTCTCCTGGGGCGCAGGGGGGACGTGAACTGAGCAAAGGACTGTGTTTCACTTTATTCCATCATCAGAAGTTACAGCTCTCAGGCTCAGAGGCTGGACAGGGCCAGGAAATACGAAGTTTCCATGGAAGGGTGAAAGGTCAGCAGGGCAGTATTTGGGTTTGAAAAGGTGTTGCAGTGCAAGTGGGAACCTGGGCTCTCACCTTTGTGAGCGGGAGGACCCTGAGGGGACGCCTGACACCCACCTGCAGCGTAACCTCCACCTACGGTGTGTACCCCCACCTACGGAGTGTACCCCCACCTGCAGCGTTCACACCCACCTGTAGCGTTCACACCCACCTGCAGTGTTCACACCCTCCTGCAGCGTGTCCCCCCACCTGCAGTGTTCACAACCACCTGCAGTGTTCACACCCACCTGCAGCGTTACCCCCACCTGTAGCGTTACCCCCACCTGCAGTGTTCACACCCACCTGCAGTGTTCACACCCACCTGCAGCGTGTACCCCGGCTTGCACTGGAAGGCCAGCACGTCGTTCACCATGTACCGGTCGCCCGTCTTGAGCCCGTTGCTGGGCAGGGCTGGCTCCTGGCATGCGGCGAGCCCCACGGCTGCGGAAACACAGACACTCTTAGGAGGTGGGAACACAACGCTGTTCTCGCATCTGCCTCGTCCGGGCGCCCCCACTGCTCCCTGCACGAAGTGCAGCCCCCCAAGAAGACGGTGAGGGACCCTGAGTCAGCTGTGAGCGCGTTCTTAGTGTTCATTCGTTTCGTTTTAATAGGGATGGATTTCATTTTAAATATTAACTGATTTTATTCTTGATTTCTTCAAGTAAAACTTGTTACTTCTACTTCCATCTGAACGCCTCGATCCTCGCGCACACAATTTGAAAAGGCCTTACAGAATGATGGTCCCTGTGAGAGGCAACCCCCATGATACTTCTCTTGTTTGTTGTTCTTCAGATAACACGGTACAAACATTAACAGTCTTTGTGAAAAGTGTTAAGTGTGAACCTGGGAACCCGACTCTTTCAGAAAACTAATATGAGAACAAATGCGTCGTGTTCCAGCTCCCCCTCATTTAAAGACAACGGGGAGCAGTCCCATGAAGAGGCTGCTCCCGGTGAGCAGGGCCAGCATTTCCGCCCTGAAGCTGCAACCAGGGACCTGCCCAGACGAGACGGTCTCTGGTGAAGGCGCTAACAATATTTCCGATGTGTCACAGGATACAGGAATTCAGCCTCAAAGGTCAGGTAAATTAGCGCTAATATTGTTTAACAATCATCTGTATAAACCCCTATTATACCAATAAACAAAACACGCAGCAATGGCATTTTATAAAACCGGAAATGCATTGGGAATGGCGCTAAAGGTCTGGAGACTGTACGTACAGTGCAATCTCTCCCATCACCCTAGGAAGTCTTCTCTGACACCAGGTTTATTTTATTTTTTAAAATATCTTTAAAAAATAATTTTAGAGAGGGAGGAAGGGAGAGAGAAACATTGATGAGAGAGAAACATCGACCAGCTGCCTCCTACACGCCCCCTACTGGGGATCAAGTCTGCAACCCGGGCATGTGCCCTGATGGGGAACTGAACCAGTGACTCTTAGGGCCCACGATGCCACTCGACCACTGAGCCACACGGACCAGGTGACCCCGGGCCTGAAGAACTAGCAGCATATTCCGGTGAGAAACGGGGAGAAGGGTCTCTTTGGTGCAGATCCGCCTAAATTCCCAGCTGGCCTGGGACTTAGACTTCAGTTCTCCCTCAACACGAGGACCAACGAACTGGGACTCGAGCTGTGGGCTGGATGGGAAGGTGGGGGAGACGTTAGCTAACCCTGGAGCAGCCACCAGCAGGGCCCGCCGGCGCCCCTGTGCTCGTGAGGACGCTGTCTGCCCGCCCATGGGAGCATCCATACGCGGGTACCCGGCCCACCATCTCTGCTCACACGCATGCTCACCGTCTCATTGGACTTCACTTACTGTAAAGTCAGAGCCCTGGCCCATGTGGCTCAGTGGATAGAGCGTCGGCCTGCGGACTGAAGGGTCCCAGGTTTGATTCCGGTCAAGGGCACGTACCTTGGTTGCGGGCACATCCCTGGCCCGGGCCCTGGTCAGGTGCCTGCAGGAGGCAACCAATCGATGTGCTACTCTCACACGGAAGTTTCTCTCTGTCTCTCCCCCTCCCTCCCAGTCTCTCTAAAAATCAATGGAAAAACACCCTCGGGTGAGGATGAACAACAAAAAGAACATGAAGCCAGAGACCTAACTATCAACAGGTCCAAGGCTGGAGGCGGACAGCGCAGCCCGCTGCTGAGGGCAGGAGCCTGTGCCACCCACGGTGTCCACGCACACGGCGGGCGCTGGGCCAGGCCTCGAGCTGGACAGGCAGCGCATGCGGACGGGGAGGCCCACGCGGACGCTCATCCTGGGGAGGCACGGGGTACATTCTCCTCCCCCCAGGGAGCTCGGCGCCCGCCTCTGGCCTCTGGCAGGAAGGAAAGGCTCAGGGAAGCCCAGGCGGCCGGTCAGCTGCCCAGCCCCAGCCTGCAGACCCGCCTGCAGGGGGAAGGAGGGAGCCATCTCCTCCACTTCCCAGCCTCTGAGCACCGAGTGGGGAGCCGGGGGCTGTGCTGGCCGGAGCTGCCGCGTCCAGTCTGCACAGGACAGGCCCCCGTCCCTGGGGACAACGTCTGAGATCTGCCACGTCGCCTCAGCTTCCCCCAAACCTGGGCGATGGGACGACGGGAGGGCGGTGCCCTCACCCCGAACCGTGACCCAGAGGCTTTGGGGACACCTGGTCAGGAGGGGCTGGGAGCCCATCGGTCTGTCTGCGGGCGCAGGGCTGAGCCACAGCACGCCCCCTACATCAGAACTGGCTTCTCCCTGAACGGCCGCACATTAAAGGCAGAGGGCACCAGAGGCATTAAGTGGCATTTTTTTTTATTTATTTCAAGCACATTTGGGGCTTTTCATGGACCGTAAAATTGCTAAATATGAAAAAATAGAGCCACTTAGGCCTCTAACTTGTTTCATTGGTTTACATCTCATTTCTCTCCATCTTTTAACGTTAGAATACAGATCACAGCTACATTGAATTTCACCTTTTCCCCTTCTATCAAAAATTGGCAAAATCAACTCCCGTAGATCACTTAATGTTTTATTTGGCTCTGAAAAAAGGCACGTAAAATCTCTCGGTGTAAAATGTCTAATTGTGGAATGGGATAGGGAAGAGCTTGCTTAGGGTGATAACACATCAAGGTCACCCCAGGCCAGACGGAGGCCAGAGCGTAACCCCAACATGTGCAAAAGCACAGAAAAAGATGTTTAAATTAAAAGAAAGCAACTGTGACACATCATTCAACATTAAGTTCCGTTACTACATCCCCCTTGCTTCATAAATAATGGTTCTTTACTTATTTGCTCTGTTTATTACATGCTGATTTAAGTGCATTTATTGTATATTAATTTTTCATTTTCTCCTTCCTTGAAATTTATGTGTAAATCCAACTCATCCTGTAATAGAAGTAACTTGCATTTATATCTATACCTGCAGAAATTATAACAAAATTTCAGAATAAATAAAAAACAAACAAAAAATATATTAATCAGTGCGCGATCAGAGAAGTCCCAGAGGCGCTCCCTCAGGCCTTGGCGCTGGAAATGCAGACGGAGCCGCCTCCCGTCCCCTCCCGCCCCGGCATCACCGTGTAGCCCGTGTAGCCCGTGTAGCCCGTGTAGGTTAGAGGCTGAGGACACGGAGATGCTTGGCACTTGTGGCTACAACATCCCCTAGTGACGCCCTGGAGACAAACACACCCATACAAGCGCGCCCGGGAACGGAGCTGCAGATGGAGCGGGGCTCACAGGATGACCCACCACGTCTGCGAACGACTGAGGGCCCTGGGCCAGAGCTGGGCAGTGCCCAGGCACCTGGAGTGACGTGAGCAGCAGTGCAGAGCGGGTTTATGTCATGAGTGGGGCTACTTTGGGTCAGAAACCATGCTTCCTGCACAGGGCACAGAGCCAGGCGCTGGCGGAAGCACACGCCCAGCACGGGGAGCCCTCTCTGGGCCTAAAAGGATAGGGGGTCGGGGTGGGGAAGCCCTTTTAGAGAAACACCCACCATGTGCATGACCCAGAACCCAAACATCAGGAAGGAGCAGGCGGCAACAGCAGGATGCCAAACCTAGTGCCTGAGCCCGGCCAGGGTCAACCTGTGAGCGTCCACCTAGGAACCAGGAGGTTGAGGTTCGAGTCCCGGTCAGGGCACAGGCCCGGGTTGTGAGCTCCATCCCCAGTGGGGGGCGTGCAGGAGGCAGCCGATCCATGATTCTCTCTCATCATTGATGTTTCTATCTCTGCCTGCCTTTCCCTTCTTCTCTGAAATCAATAAAAATAAATTTAACAACAACAACAAAACAAAACAAAAAAATGCCTAGTACCTTAGGAGACAGAGCCGCTAACTCTCTGGCCTCCGGACAGAGGCGGGACCGGAGAAGTTCTGGGAAGAACAAGCTAGGCTGTTTGCTCTTCATCGTTATTCTAGTCCCAGCGGAAATGGAGGTGTGAGAGAGCAGGCGGGTGGGGGCCGGCAGACACCTGGAGAGGAGGCACCTCAGCCATCACTGTGCACAACACTCATTAGAATCTGCAGAGAACGATGTGTAGCAGATGCTCATTGGGGCAGTTTTAGAAGAAAAAGGTCCCGTCCAGCGACACTGATGTGTAACGTCGTTAACTCACGGTGGCAGCCACATGGTGACGCACACAACTGTAGCTCAGCAGCTCAAAGGTGTTTCTTCCGGGGGCGGGACCCTTTTCCCTGCCAAGGGCCATTTGGATGTTTAGACCATCACTTGCGGGCCGCACAGAATCGTCCACGTAACAGTTAGCCTGCTCTATTGGGGCAAACATTTTTTGTTTGTTTTTTAATCCTCATCCGAGGACATTTTTCCATTGATTTTCAGAGAAAGAGGAAGGAAGGGGTGAGACAGTGAGAGAGAAACATCGATGTGAGGGAGACACAACGATGGGTTGTGTCCCACATGTGCCCCGACCAGGGCCTGGGGTCAAGCCTGCATCCGAGGTACGGAGGTACGTGCCCTTGACCAGAATTGAACCCGGACTTACTAGTATACGGCCTGCAGGCCAGGCATTCCCCACCCCTGATTTAGACACAAAATTCAACAGGGGAAAGATATACACACACAAAAGAACTGCTCTAAAGACTTCCTACAAGGAGGCTGTGTAACACACCATCTGATAGGAAAGCCATATTGTTTCTCAATAGAAACATCTAGAAGAGGGAATGGTCACGGCGCAGGCACAGTTTCCATAGAAAGGACCTCTAGCTCTTCCAGAGCATCCATTGCTCACGCTCTGTGTCAGAGAAGGGGGCGACAGCAAGCGCTGCGAAGCGATGTGTCTAAAAGGTTGCTCACACACACCCAGACCCCGAATCACCAGGCGCCCTGACCTCCGGGAACACAATCACTCTTTCTAAAGGGTTCGACCCCCTGCCAGGAAGCGACAATTAAACAGAGAAATGCTTATGTATCAGGGCGTTTGTGCCGTATCGTCTGCAGATGTCCATTCTGATCA